ATCGTGCGAAGCGACCTCGGGGTCGGGACATTTGACTTTGACCGACAGAAGCCTGGTATCAATTTAGAAGCGGTTACCAAGTCCGTCCCTCGAGGCTTTCTGAAAGTCACGCTGTTGGAGAAAGTTATGAAGTTAATAATGTCTATTTTGAGAAAGGTTTTATCTTCAAGTTCCCATCTGATTGTAAAACTCGATTGAAATCGAATTCCACCATGAAAGTCAGAGGATTTTTTACGGGTCACTGATCTGACCTGTTCCGGCGCGACATGTTGAGCAGATGTTATAAAGCATTTTACGTTTCATTAATATTATAATAGCACAGTCAATCTTCCTGGAGGGATTTTGTTGTTCAAAATAGGAGATGCTAGTGCAGAGAGAAAATACTTAATTACAGCGAGTAATTTAACGGAGCTTACGTTAACCATAAATAAAAGTAGTAAGAACGTACTTTTGAAATATTCCTTTAATTTGTTTTATATAGTGTTATAGTATTGTTTGTTTAGATTTTTTCCCCTGGGGTGGGTTTTTTTTTGACACTTTTGATCAACCTTTCGTTTCCCACCCTGGGGAATTTGATAAAAAAATTTTAAAATTTGTCAAATCCCCACCCCTTGCCCGCACTCCCCCCTCACGGGGTTTACATTGATAGGTGCATTATCTTAAAGCTGATTTCATTTTCCTTCATTCCCATGAAAGTGCATTGCTCTGCAATACGACTGATAAGTTCATCCGACAGTGGCTTGTGTAAGAAATCAGCTATCACTCGAACACGGTACGGGAGATCCTAGAATTCTTGAATACTGAACTAATTTTAGATATACTATCGATTTCCGCCTCAGATTAGGGTGGAGACAGTACTCTATATCGAACAAGAGTAAAGAGGTTGTGTTTTTGTTTATTGTTTTGGCATGGCATGAGATTGGTGGGACAGAAAAATAGCCCAATATTTTCAACCCTTCTTCTTTTCCATCTTGACTATCAAAGGTAGGAGACGTAGTCTTAGTAACTCAAAATAATGTGGTAAAGTAATTTTAAACTAAACCGAACCAATGTTTGTGGGAAACCTGCAGCTGCGATCATCATTCCATCTCATGTCCAGCACAAGTCCAGCTCCCTAACTCGAAATTTTCATCCTCTTAAATTCATCCCTGTCCAAACCGGCTTCATTTGATTCTTACAAGTTCAGATTTTGGTCAAGGACAATTCAGGTGTTTCGATACAGTTTCTCGGCGACCATACCCATGTTTTTCAGTCTCCTTAAAAGCGATTTTATCCTTGTCTGATCACCACAAGATTTTAACCTGTGATTGACTATGAATTGAAGTTTGTCAAAATGCAGTTTTTAGTAAAATTGGATTTCACTATGATAACAATAAACAAAAAACCTTGAAACCTATTTAATCCGAATTTCGCGCGATCTAGATTTGCTACTGAAAATCCGACACCAGGAATTTAAACTGTGGTGCTTAGCAAATAACCTCTGTGAGAAGTAAAAAATTCTTTATGTTTGAATTAAAATATATTCAAATATATAATATTTCAAACCTTATATTTTCAATAGCAGTGATTAACTTTTCAATTAAAAAGTTCTTAATTAACTCAAATTAATCTTAAGTAACATCAGAAAGCTGGCTGCTTTATATCATATTTCGATGGATGGAAATTTTGTTGTATTTTCTTTATTGATTTATTGTGCTCGTGAAAACTACCATGTTTACTCGCCACCTGTTTAAGTGCAACTTTCTTCTAAATTTTGACTTTTAGTGCTTTTTTATATATCTCGACCGGTTAAGTTTAGTTCATATTCTATTCTACAGAAAAAGACGATTGGGGTCATCTACCATAAATTTTAACTTCAATCAAGGCCACAAATAACCCTTCTGTACCTGTGCTAAAAATGGCTGAGTGTGGGCAACGAATTAAAAATACAACCCTACTACGCACAGCATTTTTCGAACCCGTGTCCGATTTGCGCCTGCCTCGAATAGCCTCGCTAACTGCAGGCCAGTCCCAATGTATCTTTTGTTATATTTCCAAAATTAAATGTAAATAAAATTGAATTTGCGTCGATCGCCGCATTTGCAAAAGCAGAAAAAAGGAGAATCGAAGGGGAAGTTCCAAAATTTCAATCCAACGAGCCTAGAGAAAGAAAGTTTGCAAAATAATCTATTTGCAACTACTTTTCCCCTTATTTAATGTTTTTTTTTCAACTTTTATGTATAACGTTTTCAGGGAGTTCTATATAGGAACATTGATCGGGCTATTACCAAAAGTGACGGAACCCGAAAGGATTTATTACGGTAATGTTTCTCTATCTGTGTTTATGTTCTTCTGTGTGTTATTATCCGTCCTTTTCATGTACCTTGTACAATTCGCAAATATCTAGGCCTCTAGGCCGAGTTACAATGCTAAATTACATAGCTGCTCTCCTGACACTCTCAACAAAGGATTTCCTTTCTCACCTTTTCACCCTACAACCTGATGATATGGTAATTTGCTCCCTAAACGTCAGAGGTTTGTCAAACAATACTAAACGGGGAAAAACGTTTTTATGGTTAAAGAAAAAAAGTTCGCTATTTACTTTTTGCAAGAGGTGCATTGCACAAATGAGACAGAACCTTATTGGCATTCTGAATGGGGATCAGATTCGACTTTTTTTACAACCTTCTCAAGTTCTAGGGCAGGCGTTGCTATACTGTTCAACAACAATTTTCAATTTCAAATTCTGAAACATTTTGCCCACTCCGAAAGGAGGTATATTATTGCAGACAGATACTGGGACAAAATTATGACACTAGTAAATGACTACGCCCCTAACGAGGACAATCCAGCCTTCTTTAGAAACGTGCATGACAAGCTGTGCTCCTTTGAATGCGATTTTGTAGTCTTTGGTGGCGACTTCATTTTAGTTTGTGATGTTTCTAAAGACAAAAAAGAGGGTGTTGCCACAACACACTTGAAATCGAAAGATGAAGTAGAGGCTATCAGAGAAGATTTCGAACTGGCTGATATTTGGCGCGTACTAAACCCTGAGGCCACGCGTTTTACGCGGACAAGGGAAAACCTTGAGATCCAATGCCGCTTAGATTTCTTCCTCATTAGTCTTTCTCTTTGCCCAGAGATCACGGAAGCTGACATAGTGCCCGGTTACCGAACAGACCACTCAATGATTACATTTCGCATCAACACAGCCCGAAACCCCAGAGAACCGGGTTATTGGAAACTAAACACACACCTCTTAACTGAAACGTAATACGTTGAGTTGATACGAAAAACTATCGCTGATGTGTGTAAGGAATAAGAAGGCCAGAGTGAAGTTGACGAGATTTTATTATGGGACGTCATCAAAATGAAAATTATAGAAGCCTCTTTAAATTAAGTCGCAGCCAGGAAACGGCGTCTGGAAAATAAATAAAACCGTTTAGAAGAAGAACTTGAGTTTTAGCACTCGAGAATAAGCTTGACGAACGTAATGTATCAGATAAAGTGAAAGAAAACATACGGACTGAACTCAGAATTAAGAAACAGCAAATAGAAGAAATAATCGCATACAAAACTCAAGGGGCTATTCTTAGATCAAAAGTGAAAGGGTATAATGAAGGAGAAAAGAATACAAAATATTTCCATAATCTGGAGAAGCGGCACTTTAATATTAAAACCAAAAGTAACCTCCAAAGCGCAAATGGGAAGAAGTTTTCGACGGCCGAGGACGTACGTAGAGATTCTAGGCGAAGGAAAAAAACTACTATGAGCATCTTTACACGACTACAAGTGTTGATGTCAGTGATTATAATAATCTTTTTTCCCCTGAGGTTACTGAAACAAAACTAGGCAATGCTCAAAAAGAATCTTGCGAAGGCCTACTGCCAGCAACGGAGTGCTTAGAGAGTCTGAAAACAATGGAATCGGGTAAATAGCCCGGGACGAACGGTTTTCCAGCAGAATTTTATAAAGTCTTTTGGGACGATCTCTCTCCCTTTTTACTCGCCGCTTAAGAGCGTTCTTGTTGAGTTGTAGCTTGGATATAACGCATAAATCAGAACGTAAAAGAATTGTCGGCTGTGCCGGTTTTATTCTCAAATGCAAAGACACTGAAATAATTGAAATATCTATATGTACCAGAAAAAGGCAATAATTGAAAGTCATATCAAAGTCATTGTATAAGGAAAAAAAATACTTAGGAATAAAAGTAAACCGTTACAATTAAAAAAATTGCGTTGTTGAGTGACATCAGTCATCCATAATTTTGCATTATCCCCTCATTGTCGTCAACGAAGGGTATAAAAGCAAACGTCTTTTAAACTTTTTAATNTTTTCCAGCAGAATTTTATAAAGTCTTTTGGGACGATCTCTCTCCCTTTTTACTCGCCGCTTAAGAGCGTTCTTGTTGAGTTGTAGCTTGGATATAACGCATAAATCAGAACGTAAAAGAATTGTCGGCTGTGCCGGTTTTATTCTCAAATGCAAAGACACTGAAATAATTGAAATATCTATATGTACCAGAAAAAGGCAATAATTGAAAGTCATATCAAAGTCATTGTATAAGGAAAAAAAATACTTAGGAATAAAAGTAAACCGTTACAATTAAAAAAATTGCGTTGTTGAGTGACATCAGTCATCCATAATTTTGCATTATCCCCTCATTGTCGTCAACGAAGGGTATAAAAGCAAACGTCTTTTAAACTTTTTAATTGTCAGCGCCAGCTGGTTAAAAGGAACTAGCCAAGAAATTAGAGCCAATCAGAGACAGAAAATTAAAATTTTTAATGATGAATGAATTATGAAACTGATATTTTCTCTATCGTCTCAAAACTGCAGGTAAACCACGAACTCAAAACAGCGCAATCTCTTAATGAGATTGTCATCAATCCATTACTTGTCGCATGTACATGGAAACTGCTCAGTTTTAAACAAAATGATTTCAAAAATTCGAGTCTATAAGTGAATATAAGAGTTCTATCCAAGCAAATATATTGTTTCCTTTATCAAATGATTGTCCGCTATATCTCAAAATCAAACTCCAATCCAGTTCCTTTTATTTTTCCCAACACTTCCTTTTCAAATCTCTCATTCAGTTCTGGAGTGAAGTAACTCTTCCAACCTCCGACCACGCCCTTCCGTAACAACGGCGAACTCTGAACGTCGTCCCTTGTCTTGTAGCTCTTCTCATTTTCTTTCATTCCCTTGAAAGTGCACTGCTCTGCAATACGATTGATGAGTTCATCTGAGAGCGGCTTGTTCAGGAAATTCGCAATTATTCGTACATGGGGCGGTAGATCCTAGGAGGAGGAATGACAGTTGTATTTTTTAGATTTAATTTTCATTGAGGTTCAGAGGAAGTTGGTTAGTTTTTTTTTAAAGTTATTTAAGAGCTTCTGCCTGAGAGACCGGGGCAGGCTTGGAAATAGGGGTCAGCCGATTTGGCTCAAATTTGGTACACTTAGTTACTATGGAGACTTATGCAATATGCCAAAGTTTCAGCTCCATTGCTCTTACTTGGGCTGAGTTCTAGATGTTACCCTTTTTGGGGTCCCCGAAGGCTTTTTTTATAGCCTATTTTGGGCACTTTTCAATACTTTGATTACAATATCAGGGATATTTTAAGCCAAATATAAACTCAATTTTTATTATCTCTATCCCTAGGGGGTTTTATAGCAAAACATATGGATCAAAGAAATATTTCTGTTGTCTGTGAAATAATTGTTTAGTTAATGCTCTTAAAGACATTTTTAGTGAAACTGAAAATAACCCAAATTTAAGTCGGATTTACTTGAGTGCCCACTTTTGAAATAACACAATTCCGACATGAACAGAAAGTTTAGCCCTAGGTATGTAAAAAACAAGGAGAAAATACTAAGGTTACGGCTTTTTCACTGTGTGGCCTCGCTTTGAAGATGCTAATACAGCCACTTCCGGTCTAGTCTTTTTTCCCTTATAATTAAGCTTATATCGAGTATATTGGCCAAAACTTTCCGATAACTTAACCTAAATAATACTGTCTGTAGCACTTTTACTTTCTTATTCCACCTGAACGCTAAAATTGGCAAAATATGAATATGTACGGCTGGAGATGCTCACAAAGTCACTTCCGGTCCAACAGTTCACATGAGAGGATGGTTAAGTGAGGCATTTTTATATTCAAAAAATCTGTTTGGAGCTCTTTCATTTGCACATATTTCTAATTGCACTTAAAACTAAAGTTGGTTAAATATAGATATTCTCTCAGATTGCATCACTTCATCTAATTCTGGCTTCCTTTTGTGGATGGGTGAAAATTACAGAAAAGCGTATTTCAAAACAAAAAACTCACCCTTCCAAGCCTGGTGAAAGCTGATCGAGCAAAGGAATTTTGAAAACTTATGACGGTAAAAAGGCGCTGTTATAGCTTAACACTGTTTTCATTGTTCATGAACACCAGTCAAATTCAACAAGAATTCTGAACATATTTTCCTTGCTTTTTATCCATTAAAACTCACTATGCGTAATAGGGTGACTGTTAACGTCTTTAAGTAATTGCATTAACAATGTTCAACACCTATCATGACAGTATTTGCAGCTCTTAGATCGGTGGGTGCAGATGTACTTGTCTAGTGCAAGAGCAAAAGTGTCCTTCCTTGCTTTGGATCCAGTAACTTCTACGTCCAGCGACAAACATGCCTTTTTCAGTGTATCTAGTCGAAGGGTTTTGATCTTTCCCTCTGTAGCTAGATGACATAAATTATGCCCCTGGAACAAAATTGGGTGATCTGCCTGTACCTGACTTTCTATGACAAGCTGCAACAGTTGTAAGTTTTTGTCCTGGATGTTTGTCTCCTCATCCTCAGTTTCAATACCATGGTTTCCTTCATCAATGTTCTTTGCACGCTGAGACTTTGAGAGATTTGAGAAAAAACTTGCAATCTGCTTTGAGGTACGCCACTCAAAAGGTTGGAATAATAAGCCACCAGTCGTGTTTCTTACATGTTTCATTTCATGTTCAACCTGTTTTGGATCTGCTTTGTTGCCTGTCTTTGCTCCATCATTGAACCTTTGGATTAAGTAGTTTCTAACGTCTTCAGACATCCGGCTTGACTTTTGGACGGTCTTAAGCGCCCATCCCTCAACTGCTTCTTGGCAATCCAAAACGCCTTCATTACCAGGCTGCATTGATGGAAAAGTGCGCTGTTTCTGTAAGCTTACGTTTGATAAGATGCTGGCCCACTTTTTCTTGATGACATCGTACGCAGTGTCTTGCTCCTCCACGAAGAGATGGCGTTCCGCATCTAAATGATACTGAAGTTCTTTGTAGGTAGAAAACATCTTAACACATCCTTCTTCCTCACAAGAGAACAGGCCGGGCGAAATGGAGGAATGTCCAGCCACTGAAGCCCCAGAGCAATTAGATGGTGACGAAAACGGATTAAGAACTTTTATTGCTGTAGCTCCTTGAGCATTGGTTGTAAGGGAAGAATACGGATAAAAATGACCTTCCCCAATCTGATATGCTTTCCATGCCCGAATACCATCATCAAAGAACATAAAATTGTTCAGGTAACTGATACCTGGGATCTTTTTCACCTGTGAATTTTGGGTCGATTTATCAATTACAACGACTGCAAAACGACATCCCCTAACGCCTTCATGAGATTCAAGTGCAATTTTCATTTCTTCCGCAGTAGTGATGTCATGGCCCTCATTTACCCACCGTCGCATGTGGGTTTTCATCGAGGCAATTCTACGGTCGCAAACGTCTTTGCCCGATTGCGGATCAGAGAAATCATAGCGCTTAAACTCCACTCCATGTCTTTCGCCCATGGCTTTGAGACTCAAGAGAAGCTCAGTGTTGTGATAACAACCGGCGTTATCAGAACGTAGGAAAAATTTGGTGATGGATGGGTCTTCCATCTTAATTACGCTAAGAACGTGTTCGACTATTGACGCAACGCTGAACCAATCCTGGGTACAGGAGTCAAAGATGTGAACAAATGTGTCCACCTCAACTCTGTCCTCATCTTTGCTAGCTCTCTTAATCGAACAGGTCACATGCCAGCTTCTCCCACGCTTACCATAGAAGTCGTCCATCCTTTCGCGGAACTTCATTGGCAGAAATTTCATTGCCCAGTCCATGATCAAAAGGGTGCTTTCTTTATTAAGGTTAGTTAGGACGTCTTGCTTAGCCTTTTCCTGGACTACTGTGCGAAGCAAATGCGCCTTCCATAAGAGGATGGAATTTGTGGCCTGTTTATGGTCATACTGAGATCTAGCCCTTTGTTCTCCTGTCAAGGAAACGTTCTTGTCATTTAACTTCTCATCGATTTTTTCAACTAAACAAGTAAGCCGTGCACATTCATGACAGGATAGTTCATGCTCATGGTTGCATGAACTAGAGTAGTCACTATTATTCGGATCACTGAGCGAAAACGTGGTACAGTGATCTTTACATCTCTCTTTGCTGCCCGTGTGAGTTTTGTAATCCGTCTTGAGGTATCTCTTACCAGCCTTTAGATCCTGTTTGATAGAATTTGCCCAGGTGACATCGACCCCGTTATCTTGCAGCACGTTTACAATGGATTTCAACTGATCGAAAGCCTCCGCACCTTCTGTGGCGATGTAATCAAGTCCTTGTAACGAGACCTGCTTTGAAGCAGAGCATGCCTCCAATATCCGGAAGAGTGTACGTTCACTGTATGGCTCAAAAGCTACGCTCTCGCAGTAGCTTTGGTATTGCTTGATGATTCGGGATGGAATCAAAGTTCGTATTGCCGCTGGTATAAGAAGCTTCTCTCCGCTATCCAACTTCAACGACTTTGTACCATATGATACATCTTGCAAAAGGGAAGATGAAGAAATAAAATCTAGAAAGTGATCAGTTTTCGTTGCATCAAGGCGCACTCTAATAATTTCTGGAGCATTGCTTGGTTTTCCTGGTCCTCTCAAGTCGGCGTGTCTGCGGGCATCATCGATTTGTCGTTTAGAAATACCTGGGATAATCTCCATTAGTTGGCTTTTGCTAAATGCATTTACAAACAATGATAGTATTTGCATTCGGGTGTGTCTGTTATCAGCTAACTTGTAAGCCTCCACTAGCCTTTCTGCGATGTCGTCAGGCTTTGATTGAGAAAACGGCATGGACTTCACTGTAGCAAACCACAAATCGGCTTCACTTCCAGGAGCGAGACAGTTGAAAGCTGTTTCAATAACCTCTCTAGCCTTACGCACGTAATAACCCTGTTGCCGCTCACCAAGTTCAGGCCATGGTAACCTCGATGTACTTTGAATTGGACTTACCCTACCTTCAGAAATTTGGACAATTGCATCACTTAGCAAGCATCGTTTTCTTTTCAACTCTTCTGCTTCGTCAATGTAAAGGCTACATTCAAAGCTTGTTTCCAAAGTTGAATCCAGAGAAAAATCTAAGAGTGACGGACAGTGGGTACCTGACATAAGTGATTTGTCTTGATCAACGTTTTTCAGTACTACTTCCACCTCCTGATCCTCTCCTCCACTACACAAAACTTGTCTGCCCTGAGAATAAAATATTGATTGTAAAGGTGAGAGCTGATGAGAGAGGATAAAAACGTTACAATGTTCGATTTGGAATTTTAAATCTAGGACCCAAAACAAAAGCACCTGGTTTTCTGTCAGTGGTTGTCTTTACACGAGGTTGTCATGTAAGACTTCGGAGATGTAGCCTGCATAGCATGAGTCGGCTTCTCTTTTCTGTTTTTTCTTGGACAGGCCGCGGGAACACGCGCGTCCACGAGATTTTCTTCCTTCGCTCTAAAATCACCGGCGCCTGCTACGCAGTCTATCTTAAGAGCTGCTAAGTTTTATTTAACCCAAAATGCGAGTGTGAAAGCCTAAGTAAAATCTCAAGTAATTTTATTTTGCATCTCATTAAGGACGGAAAGTTGAAACGATTCAACAAAAGTCTCAAGGGACTTGAGAGCTTTGGGAAAGGCAAAGCATGTCAATCAATCTTAATTACGTTGCGTGAGAAAATAACCTTAAGTTAACCTGAGGTAAAAAAGAATCGGTTGTGTGTCAAGCTTTATTTTACTTGAAGTATTTAAAATTCACTTGTCTCGAAAAATATTTCTAAGCTTACTTCGGCTTTACTGTGAAGACTACTAATGCCAGCAAATAGTCACGCAATAGCAATTGTTGACATTGGGTCATGAGTTGTATTGCGCTTCACACCCCTTTCATCGCTGGAATATTTTATTTGAGTAAAGAAAAGTCTCGGTTAATTTGACTCATCTGTATTTGAGGTTAAGGACAACAGCGCTGAGGATATTTTCACCCTGAAAGACAACTGCAGTATGTTTGAGATTGAACACGTGCGATTACAATATTTACATTACCTCTAGATCTTTGGAAGTTACACTTTCGGGTGTTAAATGAAGTTCTGGAATCTTTTCGTCAAAGCAGGTCTTGCAAATGGCTTTGGAAAGAAAAGAAAAACGAGCACTGTATCAGATTTTAGGTTTATTCCATGGTCCATGGTATTTGAATTCTTGAAAATAGAATTTGACTTTGTTCATTACAAGGCTATCCCAAAATAACTCAGGACAAACAAGAAACGTTCAGCATTACTTACGGGCAGCGATTGGTATCACGATCCTCGTTTGTTGGTATATTCTCTCTGAAATGTCTGCTGTCACCTTCTTGGGTTTTTTCAATTTGGAAATTTCACCTTTATGAAGAGGGTGTTGACATTGTCCAGTTAGTTCTCGTAAACGTGTGAATTTACGGCGGTGACGCGGACAAATCGTCATCTTCTTGATTTCCGCATTCACGACACCACACCTTCCAGCTTGATTCAGTATTAGTTTGTACTCAGGAAAATGTTGAAGTCTGTGCGAGGCTGAAGTTTTGGTGCCTCCAGCACCAACTTTAATCAAAAGGTGAGTTACATCGCGGTCTAGAGATGCTAAAGGCAGACTGACGGCTGGCTCACACAACTTTGAATTATCGCGAGCACCACAGAGATCATCATTACTCCAGAAAGAACATCGAATTGATGACATTGTTTTTACTACCTCAGTAGTACAATTTTATACTTTTCCAAGGACTGCCAAGAGATACTGATCATGAGAATTCATCATTAACGCAATTAAATAAGATTTTAAATTTAATTATGAGCAGCAAGTTCACGTGCAGTTTCCCCGAATTTAATTTTTCCAACTTGCCACTTCTTGTAAAAGGGTTTGAAGTGAAAAACTGCAGCGAAAAGTACGCTGTATCTCTTCAGATCATTGCTCTAAGCAAATTTGGGTGTATCGCGCAGTGACGTTTTGTTCTCACAAACAAGACTGCAGCAAAACCAAAACTAACGAGCAGCCGTGTAAAGCTCACCCTCCCCCGCCCCCCGCGCCCATCCTCTGTTTGTGCCTACTTATTATCGAAGTTACAAAGACACCTAGAGCTGAAGGCCAATGAAACTATTTAATTTATGGACATTTTCTAGCTTTCGCGGAACCTAGATGGAAATATACGATAAAAAACAAACAAACAAACAAACAAACAAAAACAAATGCTATATCGCTCTCAGATCACGACCTTGGGCTGCCTGTGCCCAAAGCAGGTGAGATGAGCAACAAGTCATGTAATCAGGTGTGAGTCATGGGGAATATTGGCTCACTGGAAACAAAAACAAATGTCAAATTCTGTGAAATACAGACGTAAGTCATCGCTAGGGGGCAAGGACAGTTTGTGTTGCTCGCGGAACGATGTGGTAGTGAAGTGGTTGGGGAGAGAGTTAACATGAAATGAATGTAAAGGCCCAGGTTTAATTATGGGTTTTGGGTTTTTTTCTTTTTACTACAAACACTTTTTACTCAATAACAATTTAAAATGGCGTCACTCTTTCACCAAAGGGAAATATTTGCCTTGCATATATTCGCCAGTAGAGATGTTTTAAAAAACATCCTCATAATATATTTTGTCAACAAACTGGGATTCAACATGCGATCGAGTTTTGATTGCTGTCGCTACAAAAAAAATTGTTGTTTTCCTCAATAGACTATGAAAAATTGAAAAACATATAGGCATAAAGATACATAAACAGCTTTTTGAGATTTCATTGTGAACATAAAAATACCACTTTTAATAAAAATCCTCCAATGTGGACTGTTGGACCGGAAGTGACTTTCTCCTGAAGTAGATTTTCATATCTTGCCAATTTTAACGTTCAGGTGGAATTAGAAAGTAAACGTGCTACATATAGTATTATTTAGGTAGGTTATTGGAAAGGTTTTGGCTAACATGCTCTATATAAGCCTTATTATAAGGGGGAAATGACTAGACCGGAAGTGGCTGTATTAGCATCTTCAAAGCGAGGCCGCACAGTGAAAAAGCCGTAACCTTAGTATTTTCTCCTTGTTTTTTACATACCTAGGGCTAAACTTTCTGCTCATGTCGGAATTGTGTTATTTCAAAAGTGGGCACTCAAGTAAATCCGACTTAAATTTGGGTTATTTTCAGTTTCACTAAAAATGTCTTTAAGAGCATTAACTTAACAATTATTTCACAGACAACAGAAATATTTCTTTGATCCATATGTTTTGCTATAAGACCCTTAGGGATAGAAATAATAAAAAGTGAGTTTATATTTGGCTTAAAATATCCCTGATATTGTAATCAAAGTATTGAAAAGTGCCCAAAATAGGCTATAAAAAAAGCATTCGGGGACCCCAAAAAGGGTAACATCTAGAACTCAGCCCAAATAAGAGCAATGGAGCTGAAACTTTGGCATATTGCATAAGTCTCCATAGTAACTAAGTGTACCAAATTTGAGCCAAATCGGCCGACCCCTATTTCCAAGCCTGCCCCGGTCTCTCAGGCAGAAGCTCTTAATTAATTTTAGTTCTAATCAAACAGCACTTGACTGCTTTCAAAATTTGCGATGTTACGTAGGGGACAAAGAAAAACGATCTGAGTCCCGGACAGGGATGTAATCCCCTAGAAACTCTTCCATAGACATATACAGTTATTTCTTTTTAACGCGGTCGTAGTTTAAGGTCGCGGTATCCATATTTTCGGCCGGGGTGTTCATTATGGATGACTTAGATAACTTAAAGATTAAAAACGTTTATTATCAACTATCTCCCCAAGATTCTAAAAGAATAAATTTGAGAGAAGCAAACACTACTTTTCTCGCAGGACGTGTTTAGTCGAGATTTGTACTTCGATTCATTATATTATCTTGACTATTCGAGCGTTTCAAAATCCTCAAAGAGATTCTTCATTACATATTGGCCTTTTCCTACAAAAGCAAATCATTCCATTGCAAGGCCTTCTAAAATTGTAACCAAAGTTAGGCTCTATTTCCGCCGCTCTCACATTTCTCAAACAGCGGCTGGTAATTGAGCGGGGGGGGGGGATATTCAACAAAGTTTTATACGGGGAGGGCTCCGCCCCGAGGTCCAACCCTCTTGATTTCTTGCGAACTTACTAGTGAAATCCCTACCCTTTTATATACCTGACGCGTAAAAAAGGCACCCCTTTCGGGTGGAGCCTCCCCGTACAGGCAATTATAGGGAGTACCCCCCGGGAAATCGAGCATAGCCCAAAGTGGAATGCCCCGACCAAACTCTTCCCGAGTTGATCCTGAGAAAGAAAGAAATATAAATATTAAATATTGTCTTTTATTATATAGACACGAGTGTTTTACTGGAAAATATACCACTCGTAACATTTATAAAAAACTACATCCGGACCCCGAGTGGTTTATTTTCCATAATCTCACACCTGAGTTTATTGATGACGTAATTTCGGTAATTTCCCTCAGAAATTTTCTTACATCTCCTTTTTCTGAATTTTACGTACACATTTTTCAAAGCTGCTTATATTTTGTCAATGTAGAGCCCTATTCATCTCAGTGTTACTTCTCAATATTATTGTAAACAATGCCTTATATTGCTGTACTGTAAATTTGAGCCGTCACATTACTTTTTGGCGATTAAAAATCTATTATTTTATCGATGTCTTTTTGTCTGTATAATAGAAAGAACATTACACGGCAGCTTGAAGATTTGAATTTTATTTTCTCGTGGCAAAAACAATGTTTTACTCACTCACTGCGCTCGTTCGTAAAATACTGTTTTGCCAATCGAAAATAAAATTCATATCTTCGCGCCACCGTGTAATATCCTCTATGTCTTGACTTCCCTCCACTCCCTTACATACTCAGGATTCAATCTCCGGCAGGAGTATAATATATCAAACTAGCCACCGAGCGAAGAGTTATCGAGTTATTATTGTAAGAGAACATTACCTTGTGCAAATCTTCATATTTGAGAAACACGACATTAGGATCATCCTTATGTTTCCACCAACCAAGAACATGATCATTCCAGGCGTTAACTTCACAAAACAAAACTGGCATTATGGTGTGAATATATAGCCTGCGTGGCCCCTCCCCTCCTTCCTCGCTATCCCCTACCCCTTTCGACGCCTGCTACGCAGGCTATGTTTTATATAATAAAGGATTAAATTAACTGCAAAAACCGTGGACGAAGATCCTGCTAGTTAAAAACGTTGGATCTCTAGAAAAGAGATCTAATTAGCCAAAATATAAAGAACCAAAGACGACAAGTCCAAAGACTACTGCAAAGCTGATTCATAACAACGTGTATTGTTGTTTCATAACAATATTTAACAATAACAATAACATTTATTATTTGTATTGCGCCTTTTCTATAAAATATTCAAAAGCGCATCACAATAGTAATTAATAACTAAATTTTACAAATCTTCCTATCAAAATCATAAAAAATATTTACATAAATGAGTAAAAGATAATTACAAATAAAGATATAGATATAATAAGATAACTGACAGAAATGATTCCTTTAATAAAAATGTCTTAATTAAAGTCTTAAAAGATTCTAAGTTCGTTGCCTCGCGCGCGGACCTTGGCAGCTTATTCCACAGGAAAGGAGCAGCTACCTGGAAAGCTCTGTCTCCCAATGTTTTCTCGGTTTTCACACTTGGTCTTTCCAACAAACGACCATTGTCGCTGGGCCTCAAATGGTAGGACGAAGGCTGTTGAATACTAATTAAATCTGAAAGGTACTTAGGTGATAGGCCACGCAAAATTTTAAAAGTTATCAAGAGTATCTTATAATGTATCCTGGAGCGCACTGGTAACCAATGCAATTCTGCGAGTAGAGGTGTTATATGACAGACCTTGTGCGCACGATATATAAGTCTTGCACTCGCATTCATAACACGTTGCAATTTCATAGTCTGATATTCCGGGATTCCATACAGAAGGCTATTACAATAATCCAATCTATTACTGATAAAAGCATGAACTAATTTCAGTTGATTCTCTGGATAAATATTTCCTAGTATGACGCATATTGTATAAATAATAGAAAGCGCTGCTACAAGTCTTTGTAATGTGAGTTCCCATACCTAGATGCGAGTAGTGGATAAGGCACCAATTTAACCTTTTCTTTGTGGATTTAATTAACTTTTTGAGTGGTATAAATTAACGCAGATGACGTCATGCATCTCATTAAGATAGGATGATGTCATACTTTAAATAACGCCGATGACGTCACGCATGCTATTAAGATAGGATGATGTCATAGTTTATTTTAAGCTGGCTGACGTCATGCATGTCATGTAGATAGGATGATGTCATAGTTTATTTGTAGCTGGTAAGGAGCAAGTGACGTCAGAATTTCCTAGAGTTGACGTCATCAAAAAATGTTGAGATCATAATCTATAAACAGAAAAGTGTTTTTTATATAATTAGCTATTTGTTATTTGTTGCGTATCGAACCATGTGCCTAAATTGCGCGCAGAGGCCACAGGAGAGACTTCAGTCTGCCCAATCTTGATGCTTTGGATTGAAACTTTTGAGAGCTGCTGACGAGTACCTACAATCAGGAACTCAGTCTTGTCATCATTGAGCATCAGCTGATCCTCCCTCATCCATGCTCGGACATTGCAGATGCACTTCTGCATGGCTGATACAGCTTCGACTTCACTGGAAGAGTCAGAGGGAATATTTCGGCTGGCCATACTAGCTTTCTGTAAACCCTGTAGAAGGCTGGTATGGCCAGCCGAAATATTGTTATAAAAAAACAATACACGTTGTTATGAATCAGCTTTGCAGTAGTCTTTGGACTTGTCGTCTTTGGTTAGTTACATTTTATATAATGCCTATATTTGACGATTATTCGTTTAAGGCGAGGCCAATATTTTTGAATAATCCCCGAGACTAACTTACCTGAGTTATTTTACTGGAGATATTTAGAATAAGAGACCGGGTGGGTTTTAAAAAATTATAGCTTTTAAGACATCATATGAGATAGAAAACGATCGATCGCTGAAGAGTGGTTTCAATATAATCGCTATGGAAACCGGGATTAAGAAGTGCTTCTTCCTAAAAATGCGACAAAAGTTTTTGTTCTGATATATTTGACTGACTTACCTGCATTTCCTTCTATAAACAACTTGCACCAAAATTCTCATGGGCCATTGAAATCACTCATTCCAATCTTTTTTAAGTGCTCCGCGAAATGAAAATATGACACTGCCACATCCTTTGGATTCCGAGCGACGTAAATGTATTTACATTGAGCATCTTTATTCGCACTTCTTGGAGTAGTGTTGTGGGTTAGGTGGGTCTTTATCAGGCGAGGACTTGGTAGAGTTTTAAAATCAACAAGAAACTGCTTGTTAGCATTGCACGCGGAATCTTCAAAGAATGGGAAACGAAACATTTGCTTTTCACTGCTGATTGCTCCCTCGTTGTAGATTTGCCAGACAATTTCCTGTACCAAAGTTGTACCTAGAAACAATGATCGAGTAACAAAGAAGTAAATAATCGAGAGAGTTGTCAAACGATTCTGCCTCAATCTCACCTCATGTAAAATACAATGAAACCTCTATTAAGCCGACACCGGACTGAATTGACAATAGTGGTATTGGATTACGTCCTTGAACTACGTACTGTAGTCGATTAATAAACTAAGACAAATCAATACATTTAGCTGTCGATAAACTGTATGCCGATATCCGGCCATATGATTGTCATCCACAATTAAAGTTTACCTAAAAGTCTTGCACAAAGTACATCTTCCTTTAATAGTTTGCTAAGCTTCCTCAACAACATGGAACTTTATCACAGTGCAGAGTAACCGTTGAAAAACATTGCGCAATTTTTACAAACCTCTAAAGCGGACACTTGACGGAAGGTCCCGAAGGTGTCCGGTTAATAGAGGTTTCACTGTATTTAAGACTCCGGAGTCCGCTAATTTTTTCGTATGGAATCCGGAATCCTGGCCTTTTTAATTTGGATCCGAAATTCAGCTCTAGGAATCCAGAATCCCGCTAATGATTGGAATCCGGATCAGGTCGTCCTGTAGGGACGCTTTCCATTCAGTCCAAATTTCCACCTGAGCCTTCAATAAGTTTATCACTGACAGTAGGGTCGATGGACAATTCTTGTAAAGTCCAGCTCTAGCTACAACCAGTTGTAAAAATGATGAGACACTCCCCCGGAAAAACGACCTTTCTTGCTTCAAATCGCTCCTAGTCACAGGTCTGTAAAACATAATACTGACCTCCCTCCTCCCTCCCATTCAAAGTTGTTCCTCCAAGTTTTGAGTATGGTCTTGTATTGCTAGCAACTTTGAAAAGGGGTGGAGGGGGGATCACAAGCACAAGATCATGGACAGGCCATTTATCCCAAAATACGGTACAGTGTCTCAAGTACTTTTGCAACTGGTTGTAGCTAGTTGCGACCAAGTTTATGGATCTGCTGAGGGTCATGGTTATGAGGGTGGCTCCCATACGAGAGCTTTGACTGCATTCTCGTTCATTTGTAGCATTAGGGAGGCCCTGTTAGGTTAAATTCCCACAAGCGAGATGGCCGTGAAGCAGCGACATAGAACGGCAGAAAGGGCGACAAATTAAACGACACAAAGATGGGTTAAAATTTGCGACAGCGACAGAGAAAAGTCCAAACACAATAATAAAACACTGACAGTGACATGGTCCCCTACCCCTCCCCCCTCTCAAGAGGGCCTCATTAGGTTCGTCACTTGTACCACCGCGGTCAAACGTCTAAATCGTTATTTTTGTTTTTTATTGCTGGGATTTCATTTACCAGTTAGAGAAAAATGGGCAAAGATGTATAAATCTGTTAGTCAGCATAACTATATTTCCATTTTTCTCAAAATTTTGAGCTTTTTTCGCTGACAACGCTTCGCCCTAAAAGAGAATCATGTTTGAAAATGGCGCCGATAACAACGTCAGCATCGGTTTTCAATCACTTAGAACTTTTTTAGTAAACTTTAAAAACGTTTAGTAAACTAACAGGATGTTGGTAATACCTTAAACTTTCGATAGTGAAAGTAGCAACCTTAACTTTGAAGTATTTCGCTTAACTTTTGCAAATGTCACTCGTTGACCGCTGTGAAGTCACTTGTGCTGTTGTGATGTTGACATTTGACCCTCAAAGGGGCAGCCGAATTAGTTTACTTTTATGACCGACCCTTTCTTGTTCTTTCTTCTTTTTTTCTAGTTCTTACGCTGGCTATACTGGGAAAGGTGCCTGATATAATGATAAACGGCACAAACCTGACTTAGGGTATGAAACTACAAACACGTCATCTGGTCGCGTCTTAAAATTGGAAATATAGTCGGCTAGCAAATCTGGATCGTCAGTAAAAGTTAATGAAATGTTCGCGCCCAAAACGTCCCAGTATTTTGATGATCTCTATTCGCCTTCTGTCATTTGAATTACAGGAAAACAGGACGTGATAAATTGTTTCGTGAGCAGTGCTTGAATCGAGCTGTTGAATTTTTTCCGGTTGAAGCCAGTCCCTGCGATGAAGCGTGACGTTCCCTACTTATCTATTGGTGCATAAATTGCTAACATCATACATCGTCATTCAGCCAAGTCACGGTCCCCTACCATTCCGGAGGCGATTATTTCTTTTTTCTTGCCAAAACGAGGCAAGACGATCATTCGTTAGCCTCATACACAGGCGTCTTTAGGGGAGCTCGTTTTTCATCCCTCCCCATGAATGAAAAACGAGCTCCCCTAAAAACGCCTGCGTGGGAGGCTAATCATTCGTGGAAGGCGACTATTTCCAATTTTGCTCCACAGGGAACCCGAACGCTGTATTGTAGTAGAAAAAAATTCGATGTATTTACGCTGTATAAGCTAATAAAATAATAAGATGCATTTTCCTTTGTTCCTGTGTCTTTATGAGTCGTTTTGGAAGGGATTTGAATCCGATTAGAGACGGTTAACATTGCTGGTTATCAAATGCGTCTGCTTGTCTGGCGCGTCGTAAATAATACGGCGTTGCTAAAACGAGGGTAAGGGTAACACCAGGGGTAAGGGTAGGGGTAAGGGTAACGGTGGGGGTGGGGGTGGAGGGGGTTGGTGGGGTTTAAGGGTAAGGGTGACTGTTAAGGCGGCATATTGTCATTAATTCCCTGTCATTAATCATCATCTGGCATATTATATTACCCTTATCCCCACCCCCACCCTTACCCTTACCCTTACCCTTGGTGTTACCCTTACCCTCGTTTTAGCAGCGCCGTAAATAAGATGCTCAAAAAAGATGCTCAAATTTAATTTCGTCTCACGTTTCTTCTCTTTCGTTATTTTTTTTATTTATTTTTTAATTGTTAACTATAAGCTTTACACTAACGGCCACAAGAAGAGTAAAGAGACAAGGGATGAAACATAATTGAGGGCACTTTTATTTTCTCTTTTCGTCACCTTTAAAATGAATTTTTTAGCATTTTTCAAAGTTTATCGCATTTATTCCAATTCGCTGAAAATGACTTATGTAGGCAAATCTCCCTGGAGTTGATTTCTTGGGGACCACACTCAAGTTTAGAAAGAGAACGAAAATTTTGTCGTCGCTTGTTTGCGTCCTCCAGAAAACGTAAAATTATTCACTATTTTCACGTCGTAGTCGTGCAGGAACGGCAAAGGAATGTGCAAAAAAGTGTGATAGCGCGTGCAAACGTATCGCGACCAAACAAACATCCCTGTGCGGGGCAGGGTTTTGTGGTTTTGAACTGCCAACGGTCGCGATACGCTGATTGGTGGATTTGAATCGACGCGCATACCCCAAATGCCTTTGGTTGAGATTTTTGCACCGGTCATGTTGAGAAAGCTGGTCTTGCAACTTCAGGATCGCTTTCCTAGAGAAATTTGGAAGGACTGAGCTCTCATGCGGACGGGGCATGGATACATATCTAGTGGATCGGGAGCCGGTATTTTCGAGGTAAGTAATTAAATAGTTTGGCGTCAGTTCCAGCTTAAATTGGACTGGGTCACGCGCTGGCGGCTGATTGCTTCCTGCCTAGGCCTTGTCTCCTTCTTTAGTTCTAACCACCGAGGTTAAATATTCATCTAGGGGTTACGAGCATTCTTTGCGAGCATTCGCGAGCATGCCGAGCACTGCGATTTTTTTGCGAGCACGAGCAGAGATAAAAAATTTGCTTTGCGAGCAGCGAGCAATTTAGAGAGTACAACTCGCAAGCAGCGAGCACTTCTTATATTTTCCGCTTGCAGTAATCCATATGGAAATCCCTTTTTAAAAAATAAAACAGAAAATATTTTAAAACGGGGTTTTAATTTAGAGCGCACCCATTCTCGGGGACCCAAGGGCAGTCATTCGGGTCAGGAGAAAAGGCGGGACGAAAGTTTTCAAGTACGGGCAAAAGAGCTCCTGGGTACCGACTCTCACAGAACTATTTCCAAAAATGCAAGCAAATGCCGGCTCCTGATAGGGCACAAAAACTACTTTGTATTTATATTATGCCCAATCGGCAAACAGTTCCTCCTGAGTTCTTTTCGTGAGTTCGTATACGAAGGGCTATCTCGATCACGGCTTGTCTGGCTCATGCACCAAAGAAATGAAAGCAGTCAGGAAACTTTCAGTTTGATATAAAACCCTCATCTGATTTCAAAATATTGTCTGCCCGAAAACTAAAGACGCTTTTCCAAAAATACAAGCTTGAGCTTACAACATGTATTCACGCTTGCATCGGTCACGCGTCTTGCGTAAATACTAGGAAGGTTTTAAAAGATACCACGACGGCTGACAGCCACGGAAACGTCGCATGGAAAAGTGAATTCACATTTTTTCAGTCTCTATCGTGATCATTCCAACTCGCTTACTTTGTCAAATGCAAGCGAACTCTTTTGCAGCTGAATTTCAATTAACCATATCCAAGTTCATGAAGCGGATAGAATTTTGTTATTGCTTATTTACGTCCTTAACAAAACGTGAAATTAGGCATTTTCACGGGTCGTCGTGCATTTGACAGCAAAGAAATGTACAAAAAAGCGTGATGCACGTGCAAAGTTGTTGTTTTGCCATGTGAAGGTATTGCTAATTTGACTTTCTCGTCGCCGCCGCATCTTAAACTTCCTATTATTTACGATACATTGTGATTCTCGGGGCAAATTGAATTGCTCCTGCTGATGGCATCCCAAACGCTTTTTCGACTCATCGGTAGTTCCTTCGTTTCTGGTTAGGAAAGTAGAAAATAAAAGTTTTCCTTGCACGCACAAGCTTGGTGAACGAACGGGCAAAGTGTGGCGAGACAATAGCCGTCGTGTACGAACCCACGAAAAGAACTCAGGAGAAACCTGTTCCCCTATTGGGCACAATAATACAAAGCATTTTTTGCGCTCAATCAGGAGGCGGCATCCGCTTCAATTTTTTGAAATAGTTCGGTGGGAGTCAGTACCCAGGGGCTCTTTCGTCCGTGCTTGAAAACTTTCGTCCTGCCTTTTCCCTTGACCCGACTGACTGCCCCTGGGTCTCCGAGGATGGAGCGCACCTTGCAAGTTCTTTGAACCTAGTTTGTGTGACACGTTATCGAGATCTAACCAATTACAGTCGCGTTTGATGCCAAATGACGTCACATTTTCGCTTCACTCATCACGCACTTGTTCGTACGGATCAGAAAGCAAAGGTCACAAGAAGAACAATCATATATAACAACCAAATATTTAACAATTATTCCTCGAGCCCGAAAGGGCTCTGAGAGCCCATGAGGCCGAAGGCCGAATGGGCTATTGACTCAGAGGCCATGAGGGCGAGAGGAATAATTTTTTTAGTAAAATCCAACTAGTTGGTCAGAAATATGGAGAATAAAAAACATTTCAGCTAGTTAAAGCTAGACTTTAATCCTTTTTTGCCGCCAAAAAGCGCACGCTTTTCGCTACTAATAGGCTATAACATATAGCCTAGTAGTAGCTCAAATAATCAGAACGCAGCATTGATAATAGACCACTAGTTGAAAGGGCATTATTTCATAACAAAACAAGGTCTTACATTAAACTGTTAAAGAAACAAATGTGCCGACAGCACTGTCTCGCCAATGTTTAGCAAAACAAGTCGGCTACGGTTTTTTAAAATCGCAATGTCCGCAGTCCCAAAGTCGTTGCCAGTGGATTTAGACAAGTGTTGAAATCACTAGCTGCTTTAACTGACGTAGTTGGAATTTAAAGATTAAGTGTACGGTGTGCTTGTTTCGCTTTACATGGATTAACGATCTGAACGATGAAGGAAAATTACTAATTACGTGTTTTTGTTTGGCTTCAGTGAACTACGGACCTCGAACCGTGGTAGCAGGAGTTAATGTTGTTGGGCAATATTGCAGTGTTCGAGTCTTATTTTTGCGGGTCTTAGCACAGGCGGCCCAAGCTCAGAGGATCGGGAAAATAACCACAGCAAGCAAAAACAAGAAAAGTAAATACGGTAAGCTGTATTTTGTTGAACATTTTAGCGAGTACCTATCTACTCGAATCTTTTACCTGAACTCCCATACAAATCCTGTATATTCACGGCAATTTTAAATTACGCAATATGAAACTACATGACTATTTAAAATGATTAACTCGGGCCGCCTGTGGTCTTACCCTGCGAGCAGAGGCCCTTCGATCTTCCTATTCTCTATTTTCCAATTCCCCATGATACACTCTGTTTGCCCCCCAAATTTTGCATAAACCATTGTTTTTAAATGCTCCTGGAAGTATTGCATTTTCCCAAGAGCATTTTAAGACAATAAGTTATGCAAAATTTGGGGGGCAGACAGAGTGTATTATGGGGAATTGGAAAATAGTCAATTCGAAGGTAAATATCGGGCCACAAAGTGACGCTAAAGTATCTAGTTTCGCTATGCTAATTAGCTCTGACTTCATTTGCATAATACGATAGGGTCACAAAATAAATTTGTAGAAAATTGTTAGTCGCTCTATATTTTCGACCGATATTCGGGCTGTTTTACTTAGATATTGAAGAAAAAAATTAGTTGTACTGTATTACATAAAATATACAACTTTTCTGGCAAAATTACACTCTTTAATTTTTTTACAAATAATTATCTAGAAATATGCCTTGTTTATTTTTTGTGTGCAGAATATTATGGGTTCCCTAAGACCGAAATATATTTTTTTTCTGAAAGTTTCCAATGAGGTATAGCTTGATATGGAACTGTAAATAACAGCAGAGATATAATTTTTTAAAGTTGCATGGTCAAAAATACTTAAAATACGTTCCGAAGACAATGAGTTTTAACTCCCGACACAGGTTAAAACACTGAGTCATTCATCCAATTCAGTAGCGGTCAACCTGGTTGTCAGGGATGGAAATGAGTGAACCTGACTTAAATTTAAAATTATGCTCTGGAAAAGGTCATTCGAACAACACAAATTGTCGTGGCAGGAGAAGTTTGTAAAATTATAATAAAGACTGCACAAACCTGACCTAGGATATGAAACTACGAAAACATCATCTGGTCGCGTCTCAAAATTGGCAATGTAGTCAGCTAACAATGCTGGATCGTTGGTAAAAATATATGGAATGTATAAGCCAAGAACATCCCAGTATTTGGCTGATGTCCATTCTCCTTCTCTTGTTTGAATTACAGACGAACCTGCCATGGTAGCGTTCAGGGTCGTTCAGGTAGCGTAGATTATTGCCTGCAGTTACTACGAAAATCACCAAACTGTCGAAATGGGCATAAATTTTCATATTGCTACCCCGCCCACTTTGTTTGACAGCGACACCTACTTTCTTTGATCGGTGTCAACACGTGAGGTTATGTGAATGAGAATAGAGAGTTCGGAGAGAACAACTCTTCAACTTTTTAAAACGGGTTCACGATGGAAGGGTATGAGTTTAAGATAAAAGGGCCAAAAGCGAAATGCCCAAAGATCTTTTTGAAAGCAGAGGAGGTCAAAATGTTAGAGTCAGTGTCTCACGGCGAACGCATCTTAACACGATTTCCCAGCCCTCATGGCTGAAGAAATTGAGCTTGAAATATTCAGATTGAGCGCCCCGCCGATGGCTAGCTTTAAAATAAGGAATGGGTGAAAATCGGGGAATTGGGGAATCGGAGAATGGGGGAATCGGAGAGTCGGAGAATGAGGAACGGGGAACGGGGAACGCCGGGGAATCTTTAAAATAGGGAATCTTTAAACGGGAGTCTTGAAGAGCGGCCGTCCGTAAATATCAGCTGGGGGTGTGCAAATTGAAAAAATCGAAAATCTCCAAAATTTGTCAGAATATAGGTCTAGGTAAACTATTTCTAGAAAAATAAGTTTTAGCGGAGCTCTCGCGCGCGAAGCGGAGCACCATGGGTAAGAAAATGCGGTAAACTACCCATCCGAGAAAATTTGGTAATCACGTGACCGTACACCGACCGACCGCCCGACCGTCCGTCCGAACCACAGGCATAGCAATGTAAAATAACTCAATCAACAGGTATGGCAACCCAAATGCAACTCGAGGTTATTTTGACGGGAAATCGTATAGCCACCTGCGTCTTGTAAAGCAGAAACAACTAAAGAATCAAGGAAGAGGAAAATGGAAAGCGGAAATTGTCTCGGTATCCGTGTTTTCTAAAGTATTAAGCTTCGATTAATTGTCATGTCCACAAATTTGGAATATAGGGCAAGAGAAACACAGAGAAAAAGAGAAAGAGACGGCAGGCCAGCGAGGCTCAACTAGAAAAAGGGCGACAGAAATTTAGAGCGAAAGATAAAAAACAAAGATGACATTTTTTCGTTGGAAGAACAACATGAAAATTTTGTAACGGCGGTGACAAAATGAGAAATGCTAGCCACCATCAATGCAAGGTGACAATGAGCGACAATGAAAAAAAAAAGTGAACGAAAAAAACGTGTAACTAAGAAGTTTCTGGAAGTTTCACGTTGTAGTCGTGCAAAACAACGGCAAAGAAATGTACAAAAAAAGTGTCCTGCACGTGCAAAGTTGCTTTTTTGCTAATTTATAGACTTATTGTTGTTTTGCACCGTTCACCGGCGTTAATACGTTGCCTTCGCCGCTTAGCATTACATGATTTTATATTTTATTTGAACAAACTATAAATATTATCGAGAGATTCGCTTTTAGCCCTGGCTAAATCTATATATTAGTTCGATTGGATTTTTATCTTACGCGTACGCCGACCGAGTCGGTTCGGAGGCTCTCAGATCAGTTTTCACAGGCTCAAGACCATATATTTCCTATAAATCGTTTAAAAAATTAAAGAAGTAACAAACTCTGTCTCTGAAAATCTTAATAGAAATAACACAAATTAAGCAATAGTTTCGATGTAAAATTTTCCTATTCGACAGCAAATCTAATATTTTTCGGATTTTTTAATAATTTTACTTATTTTACCGATTTTTGACAGACATAAAATTGGCAAATTTCAGACACAAAAATCACTGCTTGGTATACGGCTTTGAGCCATAACTTACCTACTGATAGAAAGAGCAAGGTGTCTTCCTCAAATAAATGGGCAATCCTGCAGAGAAATCTAATTTTATATCATCTTTTGCTTAGGTTTGGAGAAACAGATAAAGTGAAATGAAAAAAAATGAAATATGAAGACTTGGGTAGACGCCCCCCTTCCTCCTCAAGAAATCCCCCGAGTAAGTAATCGCCCACATTGTAAGGCAAATGTGCGGGTTTTTTTTAAACTATTGCTATGGTTGATGAACACTGTGTGGTCATCAGTGAACTGTTTTTATGTGACTTCACTGAACTATATATACTGGGAAGTGATCACTGAACAGCATCTACAGTAAAAAAATGAAAACTGCCGGGAATCTCCAATGTCCACTCCCCTGATACCTAAACCTAATAAAAATGAACACCAATTCTTATGTTGTTTTGGCTGAGCTCATGTAGTTACCCTTGAACTATGGTGTCTTTATTGAACTGCATTAAGAGCTTCATTGAACAACACTAAGTGCTTACTCAATTTTTGTCACGCGTTACAGTTTCATTCTATTTTTGCCTGCGAATACAGCATTCTCTCTTCGCTCCTCACCATTCGCAGGCTAATTGTACCTCAGCAACGGTGAATAAAACCGTTGAATTAAATATGAGCATTGTTTATTGACAATGATTCCTTTTGTTGACACAGGAACTAAACGGGAGTTTCTCTGATTCACCTACACAACTAACAACCCCACCCCCCCTTACGCCAGCTGGTACCTAAAAAACAAACATCTCGCCCTGCAGATGGCTTAAACCATGATGGGTAGAACTGATATTGCCAAAAAGGACATTTCTTAATCCAACCTACTTGAAATAAAGTGCTCATAACCAAAAAAAACCAATTTTTTCAACTGAAAATACATATAACTACGAGAATCTCTGGGAAAAAAATCTATTTGAACACAGCGCTATTTTCAGGTCTCAAAAAAACTCTCCAACATTTTTCTTTGAATCATTTTTAGAACGTTTGCTAACAAACTTAAGTTTGAAATTTGAACTAACCCAAACCACGCATCTCATTCTTTTAGGTGGCGAGGCAATTAAAGTTTAGGGTTCTTGCCACAGACCGATTGAAAACATATATTCCACAGCAGGTGATTCCTTTTAATAAATGCGTTAATACTGAGTTTGCTAACACTCAGATGGACATAACTACATTGTACACAATAACCACGTATTGGCAAATCCCGATAAGAATTTTGTCTTGCGTTTCTTCAGTTCTGAAAGGTTTCAATTGTATTGAAATTGTCCCAAAAACTTTAGTTTTAATTAATAGACAGTTGATTCTCCTCATTTGGGAAGTTCTCATAGAAAGGTTCCCTTTTTATTGATGCAACAGATGTACTTAAATAAATATTTTTAAAAGACCGTATAAGAGAATTAATACGGTGCTGGTCTTTGGTGTTTCAAGAAATAAGACCTTGTTGGTTGACAGTGGCCAAGACAGCGTTGTACTAGCGCAAGCATTTGAATCCCCAAGATATCCCCTTGAGCAAGGAGAAAGCTTTTCCGATTTAAGCTGCTTAACTTGTGCGCGACGGGCCGTTCGTCTTGCTAGTTCAGTGTCTAATTTAACAAGCCCCTGCAATGAGTGAACTTGGAAGGCGAAAGGTACAGATACTATCATGAACTTCTCCAGAACGTGAACCTCCAAAGACAAGTACAAAGAGATCAGCAGCGCTCGATCGCCGACAGGAATTACACCTTTGGGTATTTAACCCGTATTTATAGCAATAAAAGGGGGCGGTAGGCCTACACGACGTTTACCTCACGCCAAAATGCTGCTTGTTCCCATAAGTTTTTCCTCTGCTGGGTAGATTATGCTCTGGAAGGTTCTACATATTCACTGAGCAAATGTGATTTTAGCCGCTTGTTTCACACTGAGAGGTCATGGCATACGTATCGATTTACTGTTTTTTTTGTCTCTGACCGGCAGGATTTGCCCTCTGATGCAAGAGCATTTTCTTTGACCTCTTTTGAAGCGTAAAGCTTTTTATTGCGGCTGAATAAGGGTCTTACTTTTCTCCAAAATGCGTTCTGGATCTGAATAACTAAGCGATTTTCTTTAGTCCGTGAATGTAATGTTTTTCTGAAATGTTGTATCACGCTGGGCCCAGCTTGTCAGTTTCAGTTTGCAGAATGTTTAAAAATTCTCACGGATAGTAATTTACAGATCCATAGTTATAAGATTCAAGTGCAGCTTAAACCGAAGCTACATCAACTATGGAGAATTGCACTGTGACTCGGTAAACTCCAGCCTAGTGTTTTTCTAAAGATAGTGAGAGTCTTTTGACTGGAGCGCGTAGTTCCTCCCTTGGTATAAATAGCTTTTGAACAAGCTTAACAGTCTTTGAAGTGATTTGTTATTTCCATTTTGTGATCAAAACGCGTGCTACGTGCCGACCGAAAAGCCGATGTCAATCAGACCTGTCAACAGTCAGTGTTCTCGCCGATAAGAACTTGCATCAGGATCTGATGCACAGCGAGTTTTGTGGAACGGCGGTCCCAAATGTTTGTCTACAGGCCTTTTCGCTTTTCCCTCTCCCTAGTTCCACGCTCGACCAAAGGCCTGTTCACAGGCTACTGCGTAGCAAACTACAAGTATCACTCGTTTGACTGCCGTTGCAAAGAAGGTTTTTATGGAGAATTTTGCGAAAAAGGTAATTGATATTCGGACAGGGCTGGGGCCCCCGTTCAAGTTAGGACCACTAAACTTAGCGGCTTTGACTAAAACTTATCTGGGAACATTTTAAAGGCGTAGTGACGTGTACGTCGATATTGATGTTACCATGGCAACCGAGTTTTGACAGCCATGTTTTGCAAAATTTGCATTTTCTCTATAAAATGCTTTTGTTTTTAACTGATGAAATTATTACGTTATCTACTTCTTTTTTGCAGTTGCCAAGTCCTCATGCCAAGACCTTTATAATCAGCTTACAGAAAAGTGAGTAAACCTAAGCATAGTAATTTAGTTAATGAGGATAGATCAGTTAAAGTTCGGGGGATCATTCGGAATACGTCAGAGCTGTGTTTATGAGCCACAAAAACAGCCAAAAAAATCAGTCGTCAAGCCTCAAAAACGGAATACAATTTGTGTTGCAGAGAGTGTCGATATCGCTTAGTAAATGGTTGTGACAAGGAAATAGGAAGT